CTAATCTCTCTCATTTTTTATTTTTTTAAGTTGACATAATAATTGTACATATTTATGGGGTACACAGTGATATATCAATATATATAATGATCAGATCAGAGTGAATAGCATGTCTCTCATCTCAAACATATAATTTCTTTATGTTGGGAATTTAAATGTTCTTCTTTCAGCTACTTGAAACTATCTGTTATTGTTAACTACAGTCATTCTATAGTGCTACAGGACACTAGAACTTATTCCTCTCATCTGGCTATAATTTTGTATCCTTCAGCAAATTTTTCCCTTTCCCCCTTCTGCCTACTCTTCCCAGCCTTCCCTTCTTTTGAGAACTCACATCTCCCTCCCTTCCCTGGTTCATCTGCCCCAGACACCCAGTATGACAGAAGCCTCGTTGACATTAGATTTCCTGCATGAGGGAAATGGCCACATTGTGCATTCAGACCTAGAGAGGGGCTGAGGGGCATGGGGGAAGAGCTGCTTCCACTGAAGCCTTCCATTCCCCCAACCCACTCCACCCTGTTCCCTGGAAATAGTGTGAGTCACAGACAGAAGCTACAACAATGGCATCACATTAGATCATCTGGAGACTCTGATAGTAGTAATATTAACTCAATAATTTTATATCACTAATACATGGTTTTGTGTCCTTGACAGTGCTTAGTGATCATGGATGCTAACTTAAAAAAAAAAACAAGGGGTTGTTTCAACTACATAGGCCAATAGCAAACACTTGCATCTCAAAACTAGTTCTATTATAAGCCCACTGAAATGAATTTAGCAATTTTTAAAGCATCACAATTTGAAACCAAATACAAGACAAAACAATTTAAGATCATTTTCCCTGGAAACCTAAAAAAACAAAGGTTCAGGTTTATTAGCCCAATCTTTAACCAGGTAGGCTAAAAAGGTATATACTTACTGTCTTGAATATTATTTAAGAACTCTAGCTAATTTAATGTACCCAAATATGCAGAAGAGATTCTGCCTCTCTATTTCAATGTTAGGAGACAGATCTCATCAAATAAATGAAAATACATTTTCTTATAGATTTATACTCTTCCTTACATATTTTAAACAAATATTATTTATACCCTTAAATCAATGAGAATTTCTTTCCAATGAATTTTCAATTTGCTTAAAGTAAAAAGTGAAAATACTGATTTACTAAATAATCAATGCTTTTTTTTTTAACCTAAACACTTACATTTTTATTTTATTTTATGTTTTTTAGAGACAAGGTCTTGCTCTGTCATCCAGGTTGGAATGCAGTGGCAGGATCACAGTTCACTATAGCCTCAAATCCTGGGCTCAAGTGATCCTCTCGCTTCAGCCTCCCGAGTAGCTGAAACTACAGGAGTGCACAACCATGCCTGGTGAGCTTTTCTATTTTTTGTAGAGATGGGGTCTTGCTGTGTTGCCCAGGCTGGTCTCAAACTCCTGGGCTCAAGCTATCTTCCCACCTCAGCCTATCAAACACTTTTAATTCTCCAAAACTGGGGGGTACACGTGGGCAGCATATTCACTTTCAAAATGAAAATACCATGGAATATACATTCTCTTATCTAATTCATCAGGATGCCCACCCACCAGCACCGAAAAGCTGTACTCCCAGCAAGCAAGAGCCATACCCGTGTGCATGCACTCATGTGAAAATATCACACACACTAAATTGCATTGAGGCCGTGACAACATGCAACTTAGTAATGTGCAATATCTCCACCAGAGCAAGCAGAATGGGAGCATCAGGGAAGAAGGGTGTGATGTATACATTCAGGAGACAACATGCTGCTAAAGAGAGGAAAATGGTTTGGGAATAAAGGGTGCATGCCACTGACTCAAAAATTCATGAAATGAAAACTCAATCACAAATGTACTCGATTTAGAAGAATACTTATTCAAAATTAAAATAATAATTAAGGTTCAAAAGTTCAATGAGATAGTGATCATAAAAAAACCACATATTTCAGAAGGCAAAGCTATCAAAACAAACACTTTCACTGTCTGGTCATGCAGTTATCCCCTAATTTCAATTCCACTTTTAACTTATTAACAAATCATATAATATGAGTTTAATGATTTCCACTTAACTGTAACACTGATAATTAATGACCAATGCTTATAAAATCTGCTATCACTGATAATTTACAGATTAAACCATTCTTTGATATTACAATATTTTTATAACCATTTGTATAATGTTTTTCCTCTTAAAATCTTTCAAACATATTCCTTCTTGAACACAGTCCTTCAGAATGAAATATCTGACAAGAGCTCTTAGAAACAGAACTCACTATTATCTATATGAGAAAGTTCTTCAGAGGAATGTAAGCAAAACCTACACATTTTAAGTCTTGAATTTGATACAGTAAATAAACAGACCAGAGAACTTAGACTGCAAAAAATCATCTTGAATTACAATCTTCCTTATAGCTTTGGTTAGAAAAACAGCCCAAGCCATAACACATTCTCTAGTCCATACCTTATTTATCAGACTCTCATAAATCTATCGATTTTGAGAACCATTAAGGATTATAGTGCTGGTAGTAAAGGTTGTTCAAATTTGTTCTGTATTAAGATAAATTAAAATGAAGGGTTTTTGTCCCAGTATACTTTGGAACCAAGACATGAGCTACTGTTATAGTACATAATTAGTCTGTATACTCCTAAGAAGAGTCAAATCTAATTTGTAAAACATATATTTCCTCATATCTTTGTGGATAGTAGCACTTTTTCTAATCTCAAATTCCCTATTGAGCTGAAGACCTGAATATCTAGCCACAAGCCTCATGTGTCCATATGAATGGTCTTGACCAGGGGTCCTCAAACTTTTTAAACAGGGGGCCAGTTCACTGTACCTCAGACCGTTGGACAGTGCACACTGTGGGCCCAGAACAAGTCGGCTGCTAAGCAGGACAGGCAGCTGGGGCAAAAACACCCGGCCGGCCGGATAAATGTCCCAGGCGGGCGGCATGTGGCCCATGGGCCATAGTTTGAAGACGCCTGGTCTTGACATTGCCACAAATCTAACTCATCATCTGCCCTAACCAGCTCCTCCTGGAAGAAGGTATCATGGTGTAACAAAATACATGCCTTCAATCAGCTGAACAGCTTTACTCACCACTAAGTAGCAACCACAGCATTTAAGAATTAAGTTTAAACAAGAGAGGTAGCATATCTGATATGAAAAAAGGTGACTCAAAAAAAAAAAGGTGACTCAAAGACGACATTCAGAGAATGGTCAGGAAGTAGTTCACTGTAAGACAGCAGAACAAGAAAAAATTCTAAGAACTGTCATTTGAAAATAGAAAAACTTGCGAGAATAAGAGTCAATGCTAATGAAGTTTACATGAAGAAAAGGAAGCATCATTTTGAAGTTCATTGGGAACAAGGTAGATTATTTCTCTGCAATCCTTGGCTGAAGTCCCACTGACTAGAGACCCTACCAGCCTTCGATATAGCTGACTGAACAGCTTTATTCTACGGGGAAAACAGATCAGTTTTCCTTTGTGACAGAACATTTGCATAAGCTTTTTGAGTAGAGACACTTAGATAAACAAAAGATAATCTATTGCTGGAATTTTCATCATTTCATTTACTCAGGATGATAACCAATAGTTATATAGGCCTTAGGAAGGATGCTAAAGCTTGCACTTTCTTGAAGACAGCTTAGCTTCACCCTGAAGGCTGCTGCATTAGATAATACACTCCCACACCTGGAGTCTTTACGCAGATGGCCCTGGCATGATACCTGAGGGCACCACACAGGTAGTAAAAGCTTTTTTTTTTTTTTCATCCTACTTGACAGCCTATCAAGGAAATATGATGTTGGTGAAGACTTTACCCAGGCTTTACTACTAGGAAAAAGGGGGAGAACTTACCAAAGCTTCTAAAGATGATGTACTTTAGGAGCATGAATCCTATTTGAATGTAACTGAGGGTTTTCTAAAGATCAAAGAGGTATTCTCCCTAGCTGCTACATGAACACAGAGAAAAAAATAAGCCAAGATCAGTCAGACAGGATTATCAGGTCCAATCAAGATTCCTGTGGAAGACTATTTGCGCACAACAGTATTTTTTAAAAAGTGTGTGAAAACAGAATTGCCAGCCGGTGAATCTTTATTCACTATTCAAGAGAAGCTTAAGACCACCTGGCTAACAACTTATTAGGAAAAGGAGCTTTAATGGAAAATACAAGGGTTTACTATGAGTAGCTATTCACAAGTAAAAATGTAGTTGAGTCTTATTAATGAGCAACGAGGGACAGGGGTTGGAAAAGGGGCTGAGAGGGGCCTGCACTGCACAAGGCCTCTCCCTACCAGAAAGGATAAAGAGGAAAAAGGAAAAGGGGGCCAGAAGCCAGTGACTTGGAACAAGCTCATGGAGCATAAAAGTGAAGTAGCAGCACATTCAGAAACCAATCCTGCAATACATGGACCCCAGAAGGCATGGGAGAAATTTTTGACAAGAATCTACAATGCACACAGGGCCAGTGACTTGGAGATAACCAAAGATTCTGTATTTCTAATATCCAACCTACCCCTGCAGAGGGAACAGCCTGGCTGCAGAAGGTGAGAGGAAGAAACAGAGAGACCATCTACTCTCCTCCTGGAGCACAGCTAGAATTCCTGAGAACAGAGGAGGGTTCTGAGAAGAGGTGAGAGAGTGTGTAGTAGGAAAGGGGGTCCTCCTGAGCAAGTGATATGATAAGAGCTAGACTAGAAGCCTGCTAATGGAAAGCTGATGAAGACAGGCCATTAAATTTTTATAAATCACAGGTTTGAAAGGATACTGAAACTCCTTTAACTTTTTTCTTAACATTTGCATTTTGAAAAAATTTTAAAAAGTAACATTTGCACTGCTTAAAATGAGATAAAAACCTTGAAAATACCAGAGTCCTTCAATAGGTTAGCACTGAATGTTACTAGGAAGCTCAAGACAAAAAACAAGCTTCTCATAGAAAGGAGTTTCTAAAAGAAGAAAGAAGAGCATCTTATCCCTACCTGATAGCTTCTTCCACAGACTGGCCAATAATATTAGAGGAAGGACCTGGCTGAGATAGTGGAGTCAGGCTTATCACCCACTTCACTGGCTTGTAGTACTCATCACTGGAACTTAACAGATAAAATAGTGTGGTCAGGAAAATTATCTGCAAAACAAAGGACAGCATCATCTAAAAAACCACATTTGGAAACTAGGGGAAGACAGACATCCGCAAACACAAATGGAACCAAGAATATACTCAAATGGGGAAGGAAATGAGATGTGTACTTATCTACTCAGACATACCAGAGAGAGCACAAAATTGAGAAGGGCCGTCCCACTGTAGAAGAGGATGGTCAGGAGCGTAGTGACCGTAGTAAATAGCAGGCTCACATTCCGGCTCATCACAATCCACAGAGACTCCAAGATCTGATAGGGAGGGAAAGCTGGGTATTAGAACTAATCCTCATGAAGGAAGTTCCTACAGCCATCTAGTATGTGTGCTTTTTTTTTTTTTTTTTTTTTTATTTGTTTAAGTTTTTTTTTTTTTTTTTTTTTTTTTTTTTTAATTGCTGTAAGATTTATTCAGCTTTTTTTTTTTTTTTTTTGAGACAGAGTCTAGCTCTGTCACCTCAGGTAGAGTGTAGTGATATCATCATAGCTCACTGCAACCTCAAACTCCTGGGCTCAAGTGATCCTCCTTCCTTAGCAACCCCAGTAGCTGAAGACTACAGGCACACCACAATGCCCAGCTAATTTTTCTATTTTTAGTAGAGATGGGGTCTTGCTCTTGCTCAGACTGGTCTCAAACTCCTGAGCTCAAGCAATATTCCTGCCTTGGCCTCCCAGAGACAGTGTTTTAGTATCATGCACTAAAAAACATGTACTGAGGATTATTTTAAGTGGAGAAAAAAAAATCTACTGAAAACAGCTGTATGTTCAATAATAAGAAAAATAATTAAGTAAATTATGGTGAGTCCACTCCAAATAATATTAGGCAGCCATAAAAAAATCTCTATTTCACCACTATACATCCATGTAACAAAAACCCATTTGAATCCCCTAAATCTACTGAAATTTTTAAAGAATCTCTATTATAACATAAAATATTATAAACAATAATATAACATATTTATAACATAATAATTTATAACATATTTTATTTATAACATAATAAAATATTTTATGATATAATGGTAAGTTTAAAAATCAGGATACAAAAATCTCATATGTAACTATGTAAACATGGTAAGCACAGAAGAAATAGTCATGTGTTGCTTAATGGACAGGGATATGTTCTGAGAAATGCATTGTTAGGTGATTTTGTCATAAGAGGATCATAGAGTGTGCTTACACAAATCTAGATGGTATAGAGCAAGGGTCCTCAAACTTTTTAAACAGGGGGCCAGTTCACTGTCCCTCAGATCGTTGGAGGGCCGTTGGAGAGTGCAGCGCACATTCCACATATGCGCACTGTGGGCCTGGGACAAGTAGGCTGCTGAGCAGGACAAGCAGCAGCAGCAAAAACACCCGGCGGGCCAGATAAATGTCCTCGGCATGCCACATGTGGCTCGTGGGCCAAAGTTTGAGGACACCTGGTATAGAGCCTACTACACACCTAGGCTGTATGACACAGCCTATTTACTCCTAGGCTACACACCTGTATAGCATGTTATTGTGCTGGATACTATAGGTAATTGTAACACAGTGGTTAATATTTGTGTATCTAAATATATCTATGCTAGAAAAGATACAGTAACATTATGGTATCTTATGGTAGTGCCTCCAAATATATGGTGACTAAGATGTCATTATGCAGCACATGAGATGACTGTACATATGAGAAAATATGCCAGAATACAAGCTGTGTTTATATTTATCTTGTAGGATCACGAGTGCAGGCCATGAAATTCCAGCACTTGTTTTATTAGCTGCCCAGCCCCAACCCTTACTATCTATAACTTAGTTTCATCTACAAATATAAAAGGTGTCACTTCAATGACTTCATTAAAATCACAATAAAAGTAAGAGAGTCGAGGGCAGAGCTCTGCAGCTGAAAATCTTTCCTGAGACAATCACCATTATATTGAGACTTACTGAGTATAGTTGATCCATCAACTGTAAATCTACTAGAACCAGATTATCAAGATAAAGGCTTTTAATATGTTAAGTATTACTAAAGATGTATAATATCTATAGCACACCTGCATGTTTTCATTTACTATCTCTTCATGAATTTAAATTCCCTTATGATAATGTCTGTTCTATTCTTCCCAAGTAAACTATCCTTTTTGTTAATGAAAAACACAGAAGCAAAATGATCAAGAAACACTTCCTGTTGCAGTTTTCAAAATGCTTCCGTAAACCTCACAACAACGCCATGTGTGAAGCCATGCAGATATCTCTATTTTATAGATATACAAAGTGAGGCTCAGAAATTTTTTAAAACTTGCCAAAAGGCAAGGAGCTAATAACTGGGACCAGAACTCAAAATGTCTGATTTTCATTTTGGTGCCCTTTCCAAAACAGCAGTTCTGTTTTTCGTTGTATGTTCCAGTTATACCATCTGTTCTATGAAAGGCCTATCCATGCCTTTCTACCTAAAATGTATCATTTATAAAGGCATATTTTGTTGCCCTCGGCATTTCTTGCAAACCTCAGCTCAGTCTTCATAAGACGACTTTAGCAGGCTGGTTTCATTTACAAAAACTCCTTACATAAGATCTTGAAAATGTTTCACAATGCCTACAAAAATATGCATGATTGACCGTTTGACCCTGTGGGATAAAGAATGAATGAACAATGCCATTGATTCCAAGAAACAAACCAACAATGCCTTTACTTGTGATTTTGACAAGCATTCTTTTTGGGGCTTCAGTTATTTTGGAATTTTTATCAAAAAATGTTTAAATAGTTTCTGGGTCACACTGGGAAAAAATACTGTGATAATTCTTAAGAAATTAACAGACTACATTAATTCTAGACTGGTAGTCTCCAACAACAATTAAGTAACCTTTCTTACTTGAAAGAAAGGGGATTGACTAGAGAAAATAGAGAACAGGACATTTCTATAATACGAAATAAATCCTTAAGGTAAAGTAGTTTTAGTTTATATGCCAGGCTTAGAAAGGAGAAAATGAATAAATGCAGGAACAATAACAAAGCCCCTCAAACTCTAAAAACAAAACAGATTTATGGAGGCAAAAATGTATCCCCATCTCAAAAGTAGAAAATATGAGCCAGGTTTGGCCTTAGTATAATCAACAGTAGCAATGGAACTCCTGAAAGAAGGCCAAGAATAATTAGTCATGGAACATACAGGAAAGTCCAGGAGACTTCCCTAAGCACTCAAGCAAGGTGCACCTCTGCTGTGGATACCAACTGACCAGCAAGGCCTCACCATCTCCAGTGGTTCTGCACCCATTAACTCTGAGCCTACCTCTCACCAAATACTCTTTTATTAATTTGGCTTCCCAGGTACTTATTAAGAGTGATTACCCTGCCTTCTATAAAGCCAATGAAGGTAAATCAAAGGAAGCAGTTTAAAAAAACAGAGGAGGAATAGATGTTGCAGGGATGCAGAGGTCAAAATAAGAGAAAATGTCTCTCCTGGCAGGACTGAGCTATCTCTGTCTGTCAGGGAGTCCAGAGGAGCCTGAAGAAGGTGGACACAAGCTTTGTTGTCCTTCTCTGGTTCCTGTATTCTTTATCTATCAATAAATGAAGGCAGCTGAGCCATGTGATCCCAAAACACCATTTCAACTCAGCCACTGTGCTTCTAAATACAAAAATAATCATTATTCCATTATTCAAGCTATAATGTGTGCTTCTCTTTTTTTTTTTTGGAGACAAGGTCTCACTCTTGCCCAGGCTAGAGTGCAGTGGTGTCATCATAGCTCACTACAACCAAGAACTCCTGGGCTCAAACAATCTTCCTGCCTCAGCCTCCCGAGTGGCTGGGACAACAGGTGCAAGCTACCATGCCCAGTTAATGATAAATGAAATTCTTTCTACCTCCAAAAACTTAAAATCTAGACAGGAAGATTGGGGTAAACACTAAAGAGTCACAAATTGAAAAAGAAGGTAAAATATGTTCAGGTATCAAAAGAAGGGCTGAAAATAATGAATGCAAAAGGAGTCTGAAAGTAGGGGAAGCCCAGTATGTTTTGAAATGATGAACAAGATTGGCACCTAAGCTGCCTATTTACAACAAGATCAGAAAACAAATAAAACAAAGCAAATAAAAATGTAAAGGTATGAGATTAAGAAATGTTGAGTTCTCCAGAGGATACTAATGTGGTTTTATACAAAAAGCCTGGTTTCTGAAGCCAAGGAAAGAAAAACTGAATTTGAGTAACTGTTATTTAGTAGGCTATTTAACTGTTAACATGTTTCTTTGTTCTTAAAATGAAGGCAAGTATAACTGGCTTTGTAGAATGTTTGAGATAATTAATTAGAAAATATTTATTAAGCACCCGGCACAATATTTGATACAAAAAACACCAAATAATCATCTCTTCCCTGAACTGTCCATTACTAATATTTAAATGTGTTTAGGCATACAGGAATTGTACCTTTGTTTCTTTTTTTTCTCTTTTTTTGGACTACATGGCTAAATTGTTAGTTTAGTTTCAAAAATTGCTTATCCTTTTCTTTCCATAAAAATTTATAAAATTTAAATAATCATTTTTCTGTATCATCTGTCTTAATTTGATAGTGTCACTCTGTCAGTCAATAATAGATGCTTTAAAATTCAACTTCTAACTGCTCAAAACAACAAAAAAGGATTCAGTAACTTTTAGTTAACACACCTGAATTTTGGAGGAAACCTATCATTCCAATGTATTATTAAATGATACACTCTCTTGTGTATGCATTGACTTTAAACAGCTGACTGGAAGGTCCATGAAACTGGATGGACCCTGTTGACTGTTGGGCTTTTCTGTATGCTGATCTGGCTGGGACTTTCCCACTGGTTTTTAGTGTTTCACTTTTAAAAAGGAACAGGCTACCAAGGATCACCAGATATTCGATGAAAGAGAAAGCAAAACAAACTTTAAAGAAATTCAAACAGAGAGCAGAAGGCATTTAAAAAATTGTATTAGTAAAATCCATAAAGAAATAAAAAAGGAAGGTTCACAACGTAAGAAAGAGCTACAGTTCCCAAGGTCCTTTTGAAGGTCTGTGAGGTCAAAATTATTTAATATTCAAATATTTGCCTTTTCACTGTGTTGACATCTGTACTGACTGTGCAAAGGCAATCAATGGTGGGTAAAACTGTAGAGGCCGCAGCAGGAATCAAGGCAGCAACACCTAACTGCTCAAGTGTTCATTATATTCTTTCCTACCACAAACTCAGCACCAGTTTCACTTTAGAACGTCCTTGAGAGGCCAGGCACAGTGGCTCAAACCTTTAATCTCAGTGCTTTGGAGGACAAGGAGGAAAAATTGTTTGAGGCCAAGACTTCAAGACCAGCATGGGCAACATGGTGAGACTTCGTCTCTCCAAAAAGTTTTTTTCCGGCTGTACTAGTTTGTTCGACCATAACGACAACAACAACAACAACTAAATAAATAAATATATAAATAGTTTTTTTCCTTTTGAGAAAGGGTCTCACTCTTTTGCCCGGGATAGAATACGATGTCACCATCATAGCCTAGAGACTTCAAAGTCCTGGGCTCAAGTGTTCCGCCTGTCTCAGCCTCCTGACTTATATTTTTTATAAAGACAGGGTTTTGCTATGTTGCTCACGCTGATCTCAAACTCCTGGCCTCAAGCAATCCCTCTTGCCTCAGCCTCCCAAAGTTCTAGGATTACAAGCATGAGCCCCCATGCGTAACCCTCTACAAAAATTTTTTTAAAAGTTAGCTGGGCATGGTAGCACACATTTGTAGTACAGAGCGAGACCCTGTCTCAAAAAAGAAAAAAAAGAAATGTCTTTTAGGAAGCAATAAAAATTATTTTTATTGATAATTATATTAAATGTCTTTTTAACATTTTCTGTGATGAAACAAGAAGTCCAACACACCTCTGCTGCTCACTGAAGAATAAGTTACTGGAGGAAAAGCGCTTATATGATTAAGTTGAGAGTTAAATTAGTTGATTTTTTTCATAGAACACCATTTCTACATAAAAGAATGACTGATAGACTTGATATCATTATTTGGCAGCAATTTTCTCAAAAATGAGTAAGGTGACCCTATCACTTCAAGGAAAAGAACTGTTAGTCTTTGCCAAAAATAAAATTTGAGCTTTCAAGAAAAAAATTATAGTTTTGAAAATTTTATATTGGTCACTGTGACCTTGACAGCTTCCTAAACTGTCTTCCTGATAAGATAGGTGATGATAGTAAAGAATGTGGTTTTTTTAAATGATACATAACAAAATGTGAGTATTTAGAAGATACACAGAAATCAGTGATCCCATATTCCAAATGACCAGTGTGCAATATGAAAGCATGCAAGAGTAAAAGAAACATTCCTAGCCAAGTCAGAACCCTGGGCTTTAAATATACCAGAGTACAAAAAGACCACTGATACAGTTTCAAATTCTACACTGCAACTAACCTTTAAAAAAATACCATTTATTGAATTTGGTATATAGCATTAATTTAGAATAGCCACAATTAAATCTGAAAAGGCTATTAAAAGACTCCTCTCTTTTCCAACCACCTGTGTGGAACCTAGACATTCTTCATATACTTCAACCAAAACATTATAACAGACTGAATGCAGAAGCAGATATAAGAAGCCAGAGATTAAATAGATTTGTAAAAATGTAAAAGAAAACCATTCTTCTCACTAAGTCTTTTTTGGCTTTAGAAAATATTATTTTTCACAAACCAAAAGCAATGTCCTTATGTTAGCATGTAATATAATTTAATGGGCAGATAAATATGAACTTTGGTGTCCTCCAATCAAAAAGTATGAGAACCCCTGGACCACAGAAAAGGGATTATCAAAAACAGAAAATAAAACTGAAGGACATGAATTTCTCGATTTAATTCCAAACTGTTACAGCTGTACCAGGTGACCAGGAGGAAAGGGAGAGTGTGAGTATAGGGTAAGGGGTAGGGGCCAAAGGAGCTGTAAGACAACCCAAAGGGAGGGATAAGAAAGCACGGAAGGACTTGGAAAAGAGTCACATCTTTACCTTCAGCTTCCATATTAGGAAGCCAAAAGATAAATCTAAAATTGCAAAACCAAGAAAGAGCAGCATAAATATCACCCTACAAATTCAGAGGTAATAACCCAACAAAAGCTGTAAGGATGGACAGCTATTTCTGGAGAATGACACTGAAGCTGGGAGGCACTGTTGTTTTTTAACAAAAGTCTTGTCAACTTTTTCAGTTATGGTCATGTACTACTTTGATAAAAATTAAATTTTATGAAATCTAGCATTGTAAACCTCAACTTTTGTTAATTTGCTGAAAGCCACAAGTTTATTCAGAAGACACTTGTTCTCATCTGTGTGAAAAGTCGAGTGCCAAGACACCTCACCAGGTACGCTACTGAATGAGGAGCAGCAGCAGTGAACATGTAAGAGTGTTGCAAGGCTACAGAGACAGATGGTGCATGACGGAGGTCAGATGGGAAGCAACAAGCCAAGTACTGACACGTTCAGTCTCTGCAGTGTAACTGGAATTGTGTTTCCATCTGTCAAGGGGCTTGGTGCACCATAAAAGTAGGTCTCTCTCCAGTGGTCTAGCTGGGGACATTTTGGTCAATTTAAGGGGACAATCAGACAGCCCACAGCATTGCTCATATGCTTCAGGACAGCATTTTTCAACTACTCTTCAACCACAGAGGCAGTACCAGAGGAGCCCCACCTGGGGACTGTGGCTTTTGAACATCTTCCTAGAGCATTTAGAGTTCTCGAATCTGTAAATATCATGGCATTAAAAACAGGGTAACTGAAGGCCTCATAGTGTATAAAGAAAACTTGGAATTAGAGTTTGTTTTTATTTGTAAGTCCAGTTTAACTATAAATACTATTTCTTACCGAAAGAAACGTCTCAATGTTCTCGTGCACAAAGGAAGCAAGGTCCTGCCAGTCCAGAATGTCTCCCAGCCAGCTGTTCTGACGATTCACGTGCATCTTGTGTCCTTTGTGCCTCCCGGAATGTGTTACATTCTATGGGATAAAACATTTCAGACATGAAAATTTCCATCTTAACTTAGAGAACAAAAGTATAAATGTCCCATTTTGCTTCACTCTGGTATGTACTCAAAGGTGAAAAGCATTGCGATATTTATGAAAGCAGCCAAGAACTTTAACTAAAGGCCTAAAATATTCTTCTGTTTACATTCTAGGTACAATGTCTGAGCCTCGCTCCAGTGCTTCCCTCCTAAATACATTTGTGAACACACTGTACTTCTCAATATCTGTAGCAGTACACCAACATAGCATTTATTTCATCTTTTCTTTTTTGCCCCTCCACCTTTCCCTTGGTCACTCATCTTTGCTTTTTTCCTCTTCTCCTCATCTCCCTGATTAATCTTCCATACAAGATAAAGAGAGTGGGGGAGAGAAGAATATGACAAAGAAACAAGAATAAGGGGGGAAGACTGAATTCATCTATCCGGAAGACACGGGCAGAGATGTCAGAATAACTAAATTTGAAAGAGATATAAATAAAGTGACAGGCAAGGCTAAAATTCGGAGGTAATTTCTTAACATTTTCCACACGTTTCCGTTCTCCCACTTTTGCTAATGGAACAGTGATACTGATCTCCATTACATATGCAGAAAGACATTAGGTCCCAGCCAAAGAGGTAAAGAAGGCAATACACAGTCAGCCCTCCACATTTGTGGGTTCTGCATCCATGGATTCAACCAACTGTGGATCAAAAATATTTGGGGGTTAAAGAATTCCACAAAGTTCCAAAAAGCAAAGCTTAAATTTGACATGTGCTAAGTACTATATTGAATCCACTCACTGACTACTATGTTGAAAACATGCATATATGATGATGTATAGGCACTGTATTAGGTATTGTAAGTGACCTACAGATGACTTAAAGTATATGGGAGAATGTACATAGGGTATGTGCAAATATACCATTTTGTTTGAATGACTTGAGTATCCGTGGATTTTGGTATCTGTGGAGGATCTTAGAACCAATCCCCCACAGATTGAGGGATGACTGTACTTAACCACTCACAAAACTATACTTATGAGACACTACCTTCCTCTACCATAAAATGAAGCTCCAAAGGGTAAGAGATAGGAAAAGCTCTTTGTTTATAAACAGAAGCCCCACAGTTACCAAAGGAAATAGACACAACCTTTCTAATCATCTGGTTCTTCAGCAGATGGGATGAAATCCACGATACTCTACATAGATATTTCCTAGGTATTTTTGTTTACAGCCTTTGAAACCCACAAAAACCAACAATGTTCCCTCAACTCATCCCAGGGCAAGAGCACACAATCCCAAACAGGTCACTAAGCAACAAGTTCAAATTTAAAATCAACCCTTCTCCCTCCCTCTCCATCCCACGCTGAGAGATTTATAAACACTCAGCTCTCCTTACATCAACCCTGAGAAAAATCACCACTGACTCTGCCCACTGTACACACAGCGCAGCACCTGCTGGCCCACAGGCCCTGCCAGACCTAGTACACAGGATGCCTTGGCATAAGCAGCAGCTTTTAAAACCATCAATTTTATACATGATGAAAAATATTCTCCATCATAAATTCTAAAGTAAGAGTACATAAGCACAAGTAGCATACAAGGTTGATTTAAAATAAAGATCTTGGCCAGGCATGGTGACTCACACCTGTAATCCTAGCACTCTGGGAGGCCAAGGCAGGTAGATCATTTGAGCTCAGGAGTTCGAGACCAGCCTGAGCAAGAGTGAGACCTCCCCACCCCCACCCGCCCCCGTCTCTACTAAAAAAATAGAAATTAGCTGGACAACTAAAAATATATATATATAAAAAATTAGCCGGGCATGGTGGCACATGCCTGTAGTCCCAGCTATTCGGGAGACTAAAGCAGGAGGATCGCCTGAGCCCAGGAGTTTGAGGTTGCTGTGAGCTAGGCTGACGCCATGGCACTCTAGCCCAGGCAACAGAGTGAGACTCAAAAATAAATAAATAAATAATAAAAAATATCTCTAAACTTTTAGATCTATTTTTACTTCCTTGAAAAGTTCTTAATGTCTATAAGTATACCATCCAGAAGAAGAACAGCTAGTCATGTGTAGTCACTTAAAATGTGGTTAGTCCAAACACTGAGATGTGCTGTTGGTGTTAAATGCACACTAGATTTTGAAAACTTAGTATAAAAAAAAAAAGAATATAAAATATCTCCTTAAAATGTTTCTACTGGTTAGATATTATGATGATAGTATCTTAGGTATACTGGGTTAAGTAAAATATTATTTAAAAACTAAAACAAGCTGAGTACAGTAGTACACACACCTGTATTCCCAGCCACTTGGGAGACTGAGTGGGGAGAATGACTTGAATTCAGGAGTTCAAGAAAAGCTTGCACCCTGGCCAACACAGTGACACCACCTAACTCTTTTTCTTTCTTTCTTTCTTTTTTTGAGACAGCATCTCACATCACAGCTCACTGCAACCTCAAACTCCTGGGCTCAAAGCAATCCTCTTGCTTCAGCCTCCTGAGTACCTGGGGCCACAGGCATGCACCACCACACACAGCTAATCTTTTTAACTGTTAGTAGAGACAGGGTCTTGCTGTTGCCCAGGCTCCAGCTCTTAAAAAAAAAAAAAAAAAAAACCTAAAACAGGTAAAATTAATTTTAATGTAACTACTAGAAAAATTAACATCACACATGTGGCCTGCATTACATTTCTCTTGCACAGAGCTGGTCTTCTAGAGAATAAGACGGTAATGCACAGAGAATGTGATACTGACCACCAGAGGTTGACAAGTTCTTTCAGGGAGATTAACCATCAACTCAAGCTGACTTTTAGTGACACAAGGATTAAGAGCTTGCTGTTTAAAAATGTCAATAATTTAATTCCCAGTGTGAATACAATCTTATCTAGTCACTGAGTCAATAAAATAAAAGGACTTTACTAGTTTAACACAGAAAACCTTTGCTAAAATAAACTTACCTTTACAAACCAAGAGTGATACAGTCTGTCCCAAAGTTCTAGTACTTGCTTTTCAATTACAGCAGTGTTGTTCACCTTATCTCCTAGAATTTTATGAAGCTAGCAGAAACAGATAGAACCCGGTTTAGTATTTCAGGCAACAATCCAGTAAAATTAATACATGCTTGGTCTTTACATTTGTTCAAAACAAACTAAAATATTTCAGACTATTTAATTATCTCTAGCCATATTATGTTCTTTTCTTAAACTCTACTCCTCAGTATTCCCAGTAAATTTCCTCTCATTTCTCATCTTTTTGCTTAGTTTTTCTTTCCTCTAGTCTCAGGTCTCCAACAGAGCTACTTCAGGCTATCACAGAATGGTGCAAATGACTCCATGATTACTGACTCAGCTGATCTTATGTACCCAGAGAAAAATCTTTTCCTTGTGACGCCAGTGCCCATTTATTATATGTAAGTCTCATGTTACATTCATCTCTGTTATTAAGAATTATCCCAGAACTTTAAGTAACAATTGAGGATTTTAGCTACTGATCAGACTGGCTTCTGGATGTGTAGTAATCAGGTGCACTGAGACAACATAACTCAGAGGAAGGGCATTCGATACAGTACCTTACCCCACCTACTTATTAAATCACAGTGTAATATAAAACACAAATACTGATTTGTAGTCCCACGTCCTTAATACAACTATTTCCATTTCCTCTATAACTTTCTTCCTATTTACAACATAGAGATAATTTAGAATTCTAAATTTTCTTTTGCATTATAAGCATTTCACTTTAGCCTTCATCACTTTCATCTTTATTATTAATGTTTTTAGTTTATGTTCCAGTATTATTTTATTACCTACTCATAGGATATATAGATGATTCCCAATTTTTAATGTAATATGTAACACTACAATGAACATTCTATACACAACTTTTTTCTTATTACTAATGGTACATAAATGTACAGGAATCAAGGGAAATGAGAATTTTAATGGCTTTTGCTATGCACTGCTAAGTTGTCTTCTATAAGGATTGCACCAATTAACACTTTCCAAAGTTATATGAATGAATCAATTTCCCCAAAGTTTTATGGACTAATAAAATTTTAAGTAATTTAACACATGTGAAACACAACCAATTATTTATTGTTTCCTTCTTTAGTAGTGAAAGATTAACCATTTTCCCATGTTAGTTTACAATGTGTATTTCCTTACCTTTTATCTATTTGATGCTGGCTTTATAGATATAGAACCAGTTATTAGACATGCATGTATATCTGCAAGTCTAATATAATGCAAGTCTAATATATATGATGCAAGTATATCTGCCTAATGTTTTCCTTTATATTTATTTATTCATAAACCACACACAAATTAGTGAATAAAAACCATTTATCTTTGCAAAGCATTTTACAATTTACAAATGGCTTTCACCTATATTATGTCATCTTTACAACAACCCCAAGAGTTAGACACAAAAAGGTTTTATCATCCTTTGTTCCTTAAGATGAGAACAGAGTCAGGAAGGGTCTACAGCAGGACCACGTCAAGTAGCTAAATGGCAGAGTCAGGAATCAACGTTCTCTAATGTTCTTTCAACTACAACATATATAATACACCTAACAAAGAATACCTAACAGAACAAATTACAAAAAACGATTAAAGACCACAATTACCCATAGTCTAACTTCCTTCAGTTACTTTAATTAAATATGCCTTTCACATACCACAACTATTAGACACTCACTGAACTCCTGTTACCAATTCGCCCTGTCATTTTCCTATCAGCTTCTGAGATCTCCCTAACCAGAAGAGGCCTCAAATTATTACTGTCAGACTCCAGCCCAGGTTGTTCAAACACAGTGGCCTTTATCACAATAAAGTAGTATTTCAAACTGGCATCTCTTTCAGCAGTCTCCCAACATGACCGTGAATAATTCTAAAATATCACAGCTATTAAAGGAGAGTTCAGCATAATTTCACAGCATGTCATAAAACACTCCAAAACTGTGGTGCTATCAAATATAGAACATTACAGACCCAGGATACTGTCCTGTGACATTATAATGTGCTCAGTACATTGCATTCACTGAGACCTTCTGTGTCCATTCTATCTAAAACATCATCCCGAGTCAATCTCTACCACATCACTCTGCCCTTGTCACAGCACTTTTTAGCACCGGAAATTTTTATTTGTTTACATATTTAATTTACATATCATCTCCTCTCATCAGAGTGTAAGGGGAGGGTGGTAACTCTGGTTCACTGCTCTTCCTCAAGCACCTGCAGCAGTGCCTGGCTCGTTTATGGACTTGCTTCCATTTTCACCACTGTGGTCATGGGAGATGGCACAGAGGAAACATCCCCCTTTATTCTCTTGCTGTCTCAGTGCAACACCTCCAGGCACAAATCTTAGAAAGGGCATACCAAGCAGAAAGAACAGCTCAAGGGAGGATGGTGAGCAAGGAAAGTAACCTGGGAGGTCCAAGCAGAAGCTAAATAAACATAAGGGAAATGGGAGATAAGGCTGACAAAGTAGGCCAGGGCAGAGAGGTGGGAACCTTACCTGAACACATCCTAAAAAACTCTTCTCCTTTTCTGGGTATCACATTTTTTCCTACCTTCAGCACTCTCTAGACTTCAGCTCTTAAGACCCAGTTCTTATATGATTCTTATCTGGGTAAGATCTGAGACTTATTAGAAAGCTACCTCTGCAGTTTCAATGTGTGTTTTGTTTTTTAACAACTTTATTGAGATAACTATCATTCACATACCTCACAACTCCACTGTTTAAGTATACAATTCAACAGTTTTTAGTACATTCATAGTTATACAGTCATGATCACAGTTAATTTTAAAACATTTTCGTCATCCCAGAAGGAAACCCTGTACTCAACAGCAATTAGTCCCCCATTACTCCCCAGTCCTCCCTATGCCTGAAAACTACTACTCTGCTTTCTGTCTCTATCGATTTGCCTCTTTGGGACATTGCACATAAAAGGAATCGTACATATGGGGTCTTTTATGACTGCTTCTTTCACTTAGCCTAATGTTTTCAAGGTTAATCCACATTAGCATCTCAGTACTTCATTCCTTTTTATGGCTGAATAATCTTCCGTTATATAAATCTAACACTTTTGCTTTTCCATTCATCAGTTTGTTGTTTTTTGATATTATCCCTGTGTTCTAAATCAGGATCACAAATAGTTACCATTTTTGTTATCAATACCCATCCCTCTTCAGCTGTCCTCTATTTTAGAATCTTTAACAAAAGGTTTCATACTTGTCTTTTCTCTAAGTTGAACTCTACTTCTTTAAAAAACCAAGGCATATTTCTCTTGCTATCCAAAATTCCCTTTCATTATCCTCTTCTCAAAAAGGTAAAAATTCCAGAATAAACATTCTTCCCTAATAGATAAATCAAAAATTAAACGCTATGCTTTCAGCAAAATAACATTTCTAAAAGGCTAAAATGCCTTCTGCAATGGCTGGATCTTCTTCTTTGACAGTTAGGAGATCTGTAGCCACATACTTATCTCTCACTTATTCAATAAATACTTTTGTAAAGGCTTGCCAAAAGATTAAGTTATCTGGTATGGACCCCAGACAATCAATAACATACTTTCTTTCCACTTCTAATTTAACTATGGTTCCATCTTTATGGTAACAGACTACCATACATGTGTGTATAATATATCCTCCATTATATCTTTTTGAGATTTTGCTTCTGAATTTTGAATAAGGAATCATATACCAGTACATTTCTCTGAGCACAAGTCTCACTGCAACAAATCTTGTCAATCTCTACATGATCTTAATTACTTCAGTATATTAAAAATGCAAATTACCTTCATTCCCATAGGTAATGCTGGGGGGGGGGGAGACATCTAAAATCCAGTGTGGAGTCTAATCCTTAACTGTCTTTTCCTCTAGTACTCATTTCCCCTTCCCAGAGCTCCCTCCACTTCAGTCAAGAGCATTTCCTCAAGCACACTCCTGTCTCTCCATCTCGGCCCACATAAATACCCTTCTTAAAATCCACTCTTCCTTGATCTGCCATTCCTTGAAGGTTTATCTCAAGTGCCACATTAAAAGCACTTAATCCAGTTCTGGGCAAACACTGCCAGTATACTACAGTAGAAAGAAGGGATTTGGAGTTACTCTTCAGTTTGAAACCAAGCTCTGCAATTTACTACAGGACCACTGGGAATTTATTAAGCTTGCTGAGTCTGTTTCCTAGTCTTTAGACCCACCGATCTAAAGCAGGCAAAATAATTCAGACTATTGCAGGTTTCTTGGAAAGGTTAAATGAAACTAATTGGAAACTGCCAAGCACAGTTACCTGCAGAAATAGGATTTATTATGCCTTAATATCTTTTTCTCCAGAAAGCCTTATTTGACCATTCAAGCAGAGTGATCATTCTGTCCTAAGCACAAATAATGAATCAGATCTATTTTGAAAAAGAAATAAACAACCAACCTCTCAGATTGTTCAGGCTATTAACACCATTCAGTGTGATCTTCCAGAAGGTTTAATTTCATGGTATGTTGCTTACTGACCTATACATTTATGCCTATTTAAAAAATGGAAACTGTTGTAAATAAAATCTCTATTCATACTTTATCAAAGCAAGAGCCACTACCAGTACAGACACTGCAAAGAGAAAGCCACAAAGAAAGGCTATTCCCTTACCTTGTGGGTTATCCATTCTCGTCCGTACTGATAGACATTGTTAGCCGCAGAATTCAGGGCTCTTTGGACTACCTGAGCCTCAGGAAGCCAACTAATTTAAAACAAAGAAAAAATAAAAAAAGAACACTTTTAGTGCACTATACCAATAACATTTGAACTTGATGTACTTAATAACAGCAATCATAACAAATTGCTGATCAGTTATCAATACACAGATATAAACTCATCATAAGCAGGAATCCTTGATTTCCAGGCCTTAATGGCATGATGCTAACACTCAGGATGTCCTTTCAACTTTTTCTTAGCTTTCAGGCCCACTTTTCCCACAACCTCCCTTTCATTCTGCCTAGTTTTTCTGTCCATACATGTCCTGGGTCATCTGCCTTATTCGGCGCCAGAGAAAATGGTTCTGCAACACTAGGATATTCAGATGGGGTTCTCAAAGTGTGGTCCACAGACCAGCAATATCAGAACTGCTTGAACACCTGTTAGAAATGAAAATTCTTGGGCTCTTGCGCCCACCCAGGGACGCAAGCAACAGTTTTAGGCCAGGCGCGGTAGCTCACACCTGTAATCCTAGCACTCTGGGAGGCCAAGGCAGGCAGATAGTTTGAGCTCAGGAGTTCGAGACCAGCCTGAGCAAGAGCAAGACCCTGTCTCTACTAAAAATAGAAAGAAATTAATTGGCCAGCTAAAAATATATGGAAAAAAATTAGCCAGGCATGGTGATGTATGCCTGTAGTCCCAGCTACTCGGGAGGCTCTGAGGCAGGAGGATCTCTTGAGCCCAGGAGTTGGAGGTTGCTATGAGCTAGGCTGAGGCCACAGCACTCTAGCCGGGGCAACAAGAGTGAGACTCTGTCTCCAAAAAAAAAAAATTCTTGGGCTCAACCCCAAACCTTCTGAAAAAAGAACTCCGAGGCTGGGGTCCAGCAGCAATCTGTGCCTTAACCAGGCCTGCAGGTGATTGTGATGCATGCTGAAATCTGTGAACGACTAATCTAAGGAAGTGAAGAACTGAGTAAGAACACAGAAAATTAAGAGGGAGAACAATTATTTTAAATCTTAAAAATTTATAATTTTAGGCCGGGCGCGGTGGCTCACGCCTGTAATCCTAGCACTTTGGGAGGCCGAGGCAGGCGGATTGCTCAAGGTCAGGAGTTCGAAACCAACCTGAGCAAGACCCCGTCTCTACCAAAAATAGAAATAAATTAATTGACCAACTAAAAATATATATACAAAAAATTAGCCAGACATGGTGGCGCATGCCTGTAGTCCCAGCTACTCGGGAGGCTGAGGCAGTAGGATCGCTGAGCCCCGAAGATTGAGGTTGCTGTGAGCCAGGCTGACACCATGGCACTCACTCTAGCCTGGGCAACAAAGTGAGACTCTGTCTCAAAAAAAAAAAAAAAAAAAAAATTATAATTTTAAAAAGATGCCTGGTGAGCTAGCTGGTGGATAAATTAGATCTTCAATGGGTGCCTGTTCAGATGGTGGATAATGTGTAAAAGCAAGTGAAAGCTGAAGGTCAGTGTATTACACCAATGCCAATTTCCTGGTTTTGTTATTGTACTATAGTTATAAAAGATGACAACATTGGAGGTGGGGTAAAGAGTACATGGGACCTCCCTATAACATGTCTTTGCAACTCCCTGTGAATACATAATTATTTCAAAAGTTAAAACAAAAAACAAATAACCTTTCTACAACTCCCTGACCTAGGGCTACTCAGATTGTGCGTAATACATTAGCAGAGATAGTGCTATTATAATTTAAAACCAGTATGGTAGGGCTGTGGGTTTATTTCTACTACAGAAGAATAACCACCAAAGAAAGGAAGCCCTTTGGGTATTAAGGCTGAGAATGAGCCCTAGAGGACAATACCTGTAAGGAGGTTATCAGAGCCCAGGAAAGGCTCCATCTACTTGTCTGGATCCCAGATGGCTCCCTCCTAAAATCTGATACCTGTACATGTCGGTTCCTCCTTTTGCTCATTCTTGTTTCAAAATGTATTATGTTCAAAGAGGTAGAGGGCAGGAAGGCTCACTTCTTACTTCAAAGGCATATGGTCCCAATTTCCCACTTTCCCACTCCATCCCACTAAACCCACAGTATCCACATCCCTGCCAATTCTGACCTGCTTTCCTCAATTGTTTTATCTGTGCCATGGATCCATCTCATGCTTCATCCTCGGAGAAATGCACTGACAATTATCCCTCTCTCCTAATATTTCCAGCCCCTTCCACTCTACCAGTTCTTAAAAATAAGCAAAAAAACCCCCACCCCCCTCCAACCCCCGACCAGTTTCTCACAGGGAAACGTGGGCAAGAACAGTCAATGCTTGCTTTCTTCATTTCCTCGTAATTTCCTTGTAATTTCTCAATACACTGCAACTTCTCTAATTGGCTTTTGCTCCACCAATTAAATGGACTGCTCTTGTAGTTGCTGACCACCACTACTTTTTAAAAATGTTCTCTTCTCTTGGTTTTATTCTTTCCTTACAGCCTGTTTTCATTCCCCTTTGCCAACCTAACATTTTCTGCTCACCCTTAAGGACTGAAGATGATCCAGAGGGTGCTCATCCAGGCATCCTCTCTGTGCGTCATACACTTTCCTTCTTTATGCTGATGCTGTCCCAGACTCTAGTTCTGACCCAGACCTCCCATCTGATTCCTGGATTCACACAGCATCTGCCCAGATGTCTCTCTCGATCCACAAACCAACCTAGACAACAGCTACTGCATGCTTCCACTTACACATACCACGAGCACCTCAAACACCACAGGTAAAAAGATGAATTATTTTCCTCACCAAATCTGCTCTTCTATTTCCTATCTTGGTGAATCCACCATTATCCACTAATTTCCAAAACTAGAAACATGAGTCATGTTAGATTTCTTCCTCCTATATCCAGTTAATCACCAAATAATCTCCTTAAGATCTTATAAATCTGTCCTTCCTGTTAACCCCACGATGTCTAGAATTCAGGATCTCATCACCTCTCTTCTGGTTTACTCTCAGAACTTTTAACCTATCTCAAAGCTCATGTCTTATATCCCTTCCATCTTTCCTCCACAATGCAGATGGAAAGACTGTTCTAGAATTAAATCTGATGATATCACTTCTCTTCTTATATCCTTTTTTTTTTTTTGAGACAGCATCTCACTGTCACCCGGGCTAGAGTGTAGCAGCGTCATCATCGCTCACTGCAACCTCAAACTGCCAGGCTCAAGTGATACTCCTGCCTCAGCCTCCAAAGTAGCTGGGAATACAGGTCCGTACCACCATACTCAGCTCAATATTTCTACTTTTTTGCAGAGACGAGGTCTCCCTCTTGCTCAGGCTGGTCTCAAACTCCCGGCCTCAAGCAATCCTCCTGCCTTGGCTTCCCAAAGTGCTAGGATTACAGGCATGAGCTACTGTACACTTGGCCTCTTCGTATATCCTTAATCAAGATAACAAACATATCTATCATTCCTAAGTTTCCTTGCATCCTTACGTAAGCCCTCCCTAGAGCCCTACTCCACTTCACTCCATAGGCAACCACCAATCTTTCTGTCACTACAGATTAATCTGCATTTCCTAGAACTTTACAAAAATGAAATCATACCATATGGACTCTTTTTTGCCTGAATTCTTTCACTCAGCATACATATTTCTGAGATTCACCCATGTTGGTACATGTATTAGTTCATTTTTATTTAATGCTGTATAATATTCCACTGTATGGACATACCACAATTTGTAACTAACAAGAAATACTGAGGGGCCGGGCGTGGTGGATCACGCCTGTAATCCTAGCACTCTGGGAGGCCCAGGCGGGTGGACTGCTCCAGGTCAGGAGTTCGAAACCAGCCTGAGTAAGAGCGAGACCCCGTCTCTACTATAAATAGAAAGAAATTAATTGGCCAACTAATATATATAGAAAAAAATTAGCCAGGCATGGTGGCACATGCTTGTAGTTCCAGCTACTTGAGAGGCTGAGGCAGTAGGATCACTTGAGCCCAGGACTTTGAGGTTGCTGTGAGCTAGGCATTTACTCTAACCTGGGCAACAAAGTAAGACTCTGTCTCAAAAAAAAAAAAAAAAAAAAAATATTGAGGACAAGCACTTTTGAGTATGCTCTGGATAATATAAGAATATTCAAACATCATTCTAAACCAAGTTCAGTAATGTCTTAAACAGATCTTATAAAAAGGAATAAAGTAAAGGCAAAGGAGAAAATCATATTAAATCTCAATTGAAAACCCTAAAATTAGCAGAGTAATTCCTAACTGCAATTTGTGACTATACTGAGGGTTAGCAAAAAAAGCAGGTCATGCAATCTGCCATCAAGTTCAACCAAGTAAATAGCATAGCTTTGCTCAACATTCCTCACAAAGAGATAAAACCCTTCTTACAGAAGCAAAATTAAACAAGTACACAAAGACACCCTCTAAGACAAGAGTCAGCAAGCTTTTTCTGTAAAGGGCCAGCGAGTAAATATTTTAGGCTTTGCAAAACATCTCTCTGCTACAACTACTCGATTCTGCCTGCCCTGTAGTCCTAAAACAGCCAGACACCATGTATAAACAAATGAGCATGAGTGTGATCCAACAAAACCTTATTTACCACAACAGGTAGCTGAATTTGGCCCTGGGCCATAGTTTGCCCACTCCTCCTCCAAAATAATGCTATATGGGAATATGTCAAGAATTACACAGAAAGTTGCAGGGTTATCATTTCCACATGTTACAGTGGAAAGTTCCTGTCAGTTGGTTGCAAGCACTGGATACAAGTGCTGACTCTTCCACTGAAGGATTATTATCTCAAGTTCCTTAACCTTTGGTCTTATTTCCTCATCTGTGAAATGGGAATAATCTCCTCAATCTATCTCAAAGAGTCACTGTGAGGAACAAACGTAAGGTAGGCGAAAGTGCTTTGTAAACTATAAACATGCTGTAAACTGTAAATTTCAATTAAAATATATCATTCATCATAAATTGTTCCTAAAATACTAAGCACTTCTCTCTCCTCCCAACCCCAATATTACATGCCTATAAGCCATCTTCTGCAAAAATGATGGTATTTATCAAAGCTTTGGCAAACTCTATTTCCAAATGTAGCTGCATCAGTGAAGATCATTCCATGCAAACAGATGCTGAAACTAGGCCATCCATCTCTAGTTTTTTTTCAAAACAATATTCTTACTTTGCCCACTCAGGGTGATTTGCTAGAGTTTCATTAATCAGATTACTTGTGACTTCAATCATGTGTACACTCTCTTGATGTACCTGTATTGCAAATAAAAAGAGAAAACAATCTCAGTAAAAAATAAACTCAACATTTGCCTACTGTATTACTGGAACAGTGCTTTTAGAATCAAATAATTATACGATTTAGTATTAATTCATTTAGAAATGTGCACCAAAATGTTGCTATACATGTCCTACGATACACACTATAAAAAACACGAAGTACATGACAGCTCCCTGCCTTCAAGAAGCTCAACAATTTACTTCAGAAAAAAAAATACATAATTAGATATGTACATATACTTAACACATAAACATATTTAGTTCACATATATATCTGTGTGAATATACTGTATATTTATGTATCTATGTAAATAATACCAACACTACATGAGCTAACAGAATTATAATGCAGTACAAGACATACAGGCAAATAAGCAACTGAGTAAGGTTTCTGAGTAAAAAAAAGCCAACTGAAACTGCACCTCTGAATGTACTTTGCCCAATAATCAACAAAATGAGGGAGAAAAAATAAACCAACCAGTTAAAAATTTTTTTTACCCAGGACACCTAAACAAGAAATGAAGCATAATTTGATACAACTTAGAACAACAGGGATTAGGCAAAAAAACAAAACATTCTGCAGCACAACAAAGAGGCACAGCAGTTAAAACTGACCCCCACACCCAGAAGCCATACAGGCAAGTTGACAAATTCTTTAGATTCACATGTAACACAGAGAAAAGAAACCATATTCTTATCCTTTTCTGGGAAGGGAAAGAAACCACAGTGGGGGAAAAGAGGATAAATCAAAAGGAGATCAACAGTCATCCACCCACCCCTCTTCTGTCTCTCTGCAGTGGAAGTTCCAGAGTATACAAGGAATTGGGGGAAACAGTATAAAGATTGAGGGTGTTTTCCCCTGGAGATGGGTACAAAGTAGCAAATCCCTAGGGCAAGTCACATACAAAACCCAGAATAAAACAGTGTCTAGGTATCCTAACAAAGACATACAGAACCACTTAAGTCTACTTCTAATTCAATCTGGACCCAGAAAAGCAGGGAGAACACAAAAAATAAACCGTAACTTGAAGGGGAAAATAAACTGACTTCAGAAACAATGGGGAGAGAATCGACTCAAATTCAACACCTGAGAAAAAGCCAGATCTAGTAAGGCCCCACAGGTTCTAGTGGCTTTGATTTTGTGGGATATGGGAAACCATGGAGGACTTTAAGCTTAGAGGTGACATAATCTTAAATTTTTAAAGTAAATTTGGCTGCCGTGTCAAGAACAGACTAAATGAGGCAAAGGGTGGAGATCAGTTAGGAGGATACTACAATAATTCAAGACAGAATAGGGACAGCTTTGCGTAGGTTGGTGGGGGGGAGGGCAAGGGGAAACTTCACCTTCCACTCCCACCCCCCAAGAAAGAATATAGGTAATTCTGCTTAGGGGCAATAAATGGTTGCTAGGGAAGAAGCACAGATCCTTGAGTGATTGAATGGATGGGGAGGAAACAGACTAACTTGTAAATTAACCTGAGAGGTATTGTTTAAAATGATTTGGGCCAGGTATGGTTGCATTCTTCATTTTCTTTCCTGCAATATACTGAGACACCAGGGAAGGGAAGAGAAGTCCACTGTTCTTGTGACTGGTCCATCTGGTTATGCAGATAGAGGGAAAGTCCCTTCCAAGGGACTTTTGATTTCTAAAGGCCTTTAATTCAAAATACCAAGGAATCATATTTTGGTGTAAAATTTCCTGAGCTCTTTCACAGGGCAATAGTGGTAGTGAAGGTAAAAAGAGATTGGATTCAAGATATATCTTACACTAATCAATTGAATACTGGAAATTAAACCAACCGTGCATTCCAGAAATAAACCTCACATAGTTACAGTATATTATCATTTTCATATACTTCTGAATTTAATCTGTTACTGCTAAGAATTTTTGTGTTTGCTTTTAAGGGATACTGGTCTGCAGTTTCCTTTCCATGACTGTCTTTGACTTTGGTATCTGGGCAATACTGGTGTCATAAAATGAGCTGTGAAGTGTTACTTCTTCCTCTGTTACCTAAAAGTTGCTGTGTAGGACAAGTATTATTTCTTCAATAAATGTTTGATAAAATTCACCCATGAAACCATTTGTACCTAAACTCTTCTTGGTAGGAAAATTTTCAAACACTAATTCAATTTCTTTTCTTGATATAGGGCTACTTGGTTTTTCTATTTCTTCTTGAGTTTGTCCTATTTCTTCCTTACAAGTAACTTCTCTATTTAGTCTAAGTTACCAAACTTGTTGGTATAAAGTTGGTATATTGTTCACAATATCCCCTTGTTATCTTTTTAAGATCTGTGAGCTATGTAGAGATATCTCTTCTTTCTTACTTGATATCAGTAATTTGTATCTTCTTTTTTTCTTGATCAATCTGGCCAAAAATTCATCAATTTTATTTATGTTTTTCAAAGAACCAGCTTTTAGCTTATATTAACATTTTTTCCTACTGTTTCTCCATTTCTGATTTTATCGAATTGCACTTGATCCTGATTATTTTCTTCCTTCCATTTACTTTGGATTTAATTTGCTCTTCTTTGCTAACTTCTTAACATAGAAGTTTAAATCACTGATTTTTTCCCCCTAATGTAATCATTTAATGCCACAAAAGTTCCCTCTTGGCATTGCTTTAGCTGCATCCCACAAATTTTGATAAACACTCATTTCATTTTCATCCCCTTCAAAATATTCTCTTTTCCCTTGTTACTTCAATTCACAGATTTAGATGTTGCTTAAATTCTAAATATATGGAGACTTCCCAGATTACTGTTACTGATTTCTAATTTAATTCTGTTGAAGAGAGGAGAAAATATAACTTTTACATTTACCCATGTACCAAGTGCTCTTCATTCCTTCCTTTGGATCCAAGTTATTTCTGTAGTCATTTCTCTTCACTCTGAAGGAATTTCTTTTGCATTGCTCATAGTGTAGCTCTATGAATGAATTCTCTCAGTTTAAACTTATCTAGAAATAATTGTATTTTGCCCTTTTTTTTTTTTTTTTTTGAGACAGAGTCTTGTTTTGTTGCCTGGGCTAGACTGCCGTGGCATTAGCCTAGCTCACAGCAACCTCAAATTCCTGGGCAAGCAATCCTCCTGCCTCAGCCTCCCGAGTAGCTGGGACTATAGGCATGAGCTACCATGCCCAGCTAATTTTTTTTTCCTATATTTTTAATTGGCCAATTAATGTCTTTCTATTTTTAGTAGAGACGGGGTCTCGCTCTTGCTCAGGCTGGCTTCGATCTCCTGACCTTGAGGGATCTGCCCACCTTGGCCTCCTAGAGTGCTAGGATTACAGGCGTGAGCCACTACGCCTGGCCACCTTAACTTTTAAAGAATATTTCACTGAATACAAAATTCTTGGTTGACAGGGTTTTCCCTGTGATTTTATATATGTCATACCAATGTCTTTTGATGTTCACTATTTATGAGAATTAAGTCATTAACTGTTATTCCCCCTATGTGTGACATGTAATTGTTCTCTTGTTTCCTTCAAGACTTTCTCTTTGGCTTTTGACAGTTTGATTATGGTGTGTCTAGGTACAGCTTTGTGTTTATTTTACTGAAGGTTTGTTGAGTTTCTTGAGACTGTTAATGTTTTTTTACCAAACATGGGAAGTTTCTGACCATAGTTTCCTCAAATAATTTTTTCTACTTTTTTTTTCTTCCTCTTGTCATCTTCTGGGATGTCAATTACAAGCCTGTTAGAATGTTTGATGTTGTCCCACAGACCTCTGAGGCTCTGCTCACCTCCAGTTGGACTTGGCAATGATTTCTTAGTTATGACGCCACAAGTATAGACAGCAAAGGCAAAAATAGATAAATGGAACTACATCAAACATAAACGGTGGGCACAGTGGTTCACACCTATAATCTCAGCACTTTAGGAAGCGAAGGCAAGAGGATCATTTGAGTCCAGGAGTTCAAGACCAGCTTGGGCAATATAACATAGCAAGACCCTGTCTCTAAAAAAGAAAAAAAAGAAAGAAAAGAAAGGAAAGAAAAAAACAAATAAAAAAACCTAAACATATCTGTGCATCAAAGAATATCTCCTTCAGGAAAAGCTGCAGGTTTTTGCTGCCCAAGCTAGAATAGCTCCAAGAAAGAAAGCCATGACTACCTGTCTTTACCAAATAAAGTAGCAGCTTTTCATTATTAAACACTCCCCCAGTTGTTGTCTACTTGGTCATTCTCTAATGCTTTTAAATGGTGTTTTTAATAATTTGATGCTGTTTTATTCTTGATCTCTGTGGAGAATTACCTGACATCCTCACCCTGCTATTACCCCCACAACGTATTAGTAAGGTGGAATCAAAAAGGATTTTCTGACAAATTGTATGTGGATACAAAACAAAGACAATAGTCAAGGATGATCCTGCAAATTTTCATCTGAGCAAGTAGAAGAATGGAGTCGTCATTTACTAAAATGGGAAGACTATGAGAAGCACAGATGAGCAAATGGAAGTCTGGAATTCAGTTTCTGACGTTACATTTGAGATGTCTTTTAAGACATTCAAGTGATACTGTTAGGGATGTTTTGAAGAATGACACATTTACTGGCTGGGACAATGAATTCGATAACCAGTATGGTTCCCTCAAAAGCTCAGTTTGCATGAATCCTAGACCAGAAAGAAATGGCTCAGTAATATTTGTTATCAAAGCTCCCTGAAGCAAGGGATAAACAAACAAAAAGGAATTAAAAGATAAAATTGAGATGAGCAGGGCAAAAAGACCCTATGCAAAGGGACAAAGAAGGGAAAGGAGAAGAGAAGAGAGAAGAAAAAGGAAAATAAAAGACCATACTGATGAAAGAAATCCCTAAGAACTAAAATCAAAGATGGTATAGTAGCAGGTTTAGGCAAAATATGACAAAAAGGCCTCTAAACAAGTCTGTAGAATATATTAATATATGAGTGAGAAAACATAATTAATACCCAAAGAATAGATAAGAACTGTATAGAGACTGAAATAGAAGTAATAAGACAAAACAAATGAAAAGTTTGAGGGTATAATGAGGCTAAGCCTGAGACTAGGACTTCCAAGTGGAGAGAACACATAACAAGAAACAATATAATTCTTTTTCTTTTTTTTCTAGGACTAACAGGCAAGAACAATAATGCAATTCTTTAGCAAACTGCTACATATTAGAGTAACTATCAATAACGGTTACTTACACATCTCTATAAGCCTAGGGGCATAAGAAAAATTTTCATATCTATTATTTCTTGTAAACTTCACAATTCCCTGAAAACAACATACCAAAATCTGAGATGTAGAATTCAGCAGAGTTCAGATAAAATAAAGAGTAAAATGCAATATAAAAGTAAAAGAAAAAAAAAAGGTCAGGAGCAGTGGCTCTCGCCTATAATTACAGTGCTTTGGGAGACTGAGGCAGGATGATCACTTGAGTCTAGGAGTTCAAGACCAGCCTAGGCAACAGAGCAGATCAATCTCTACCAAAAAAAAATTTTGTTTTTAATTAGCCAGGTGTAGTAGCACCTGTACTCTCAGCTACTCAGGAGGCTGAGACAGGAGGATCACTTGAGCCCAGGAGTTCAAGGCTGCAGTGAGCTGGGATCACATCACTGTACCCCAGCTTGGGTGACAAAGCAAGACCCTGTCTCAAAAAACTCCACAAAAAACCACATTACTCAGTAATAGATATCACCTTAGAGATAAAATTTTAACTTCACTTTGGAGAATAATTTTCTTTGATGAGATGAAGAGGGCAAGAGGAAATGTAAGCTAGAAGGACCTGGAAGCAAGAAATGAAGATCCTATGGCATGCTAGCAGAAGGACCAATGAAATAGGAAGGGAAGTATCTAATCAGGATATTCGGATCTAGTACACAGGGTACTAACTGGATTAGGAGCCATGAGACCAGATCATAATTCTTTTATTGAAAAAACCAAAAAAGCCACTTGTTCTTCAGTATCTCACTTTTTTAATCTGCATTTACCCCTAAGGATTTTGATGATAAAATAAAAATGCATGTAAAAGAGATGTGAAAATAAAATATACTGGCAAACTCATAACAAAATCAGCAATATACAAATCATAAATACTTCAGCTGTTTTACATATTTATAAGCCAAGTAACATTTTTCATGCCACTTTTGCAATCTTCTTATCTATAGTACCATTCTAACAATTAAGAGTATTAATGGGAATAGTAATTGTTGTACTCTACCTTTGCAGTCAGGAGTAGGGCTAAAAGAAGAGTTCCTATCACTAACAAAAATATGATGAAAATGCTAATTATTTTATCTAACATCTTCTCCAACCAGATGATCATCTGCACAAAAATGAGAAAGAGAATTACTTATCTTTAAAGAACTTCCTATAAACATATGTATATTTAAATATCATGAAGACAAAATAGGATATTCAGCAATCCAAAGCAAACTATGGCATAATGATTAAAGCAAAAAAAAAAAAAGCTGTAAGCAACTTTAGAAATTTAACTAACAGCATTAATTATTGCTGTTGTTATTGTCACGTGTAAGAAAAGGCAGTTAATTTGAACATATCCTACATCTATGTTTAAATTCACATACTGTGGTATCATTTCAAGTTATAATTTATGACCTGGTCAATATTCTAAACAAAATAATGACAATTCATTAGCTGACATAAAATCACATAAAGTTGCACTGTCGATTAGCAGAGAGATGACGTTAGCAAAAGTATGATCCTTACAATACAGGTATGTCCTAAAATATACAGATAAAACAGGAATAAGTTAAAATAGGAATTACATTCAAAATATTTTTTCCCTTTGATATCATTAGGGTTATTAAAGCAGTAACAATAAAAATTAATGTTAAGGCAATGAAAAACAGTGAATTCAGGATAACAGTTACCCTGAGGGAGCGAGGGGTTGGGAGGTGGATGGACACTTAGGGAAGGGCATAAAACAGGCTTCATTCATGTATGTGGTATCATCAAGCTGGGGGGTATACAAACAAGGGTTCTTTACATCTTTTTATATATGAAATATTTCATAATAAAATGCTTTGTAATATCTGACATTCTACTTGAAGTTTCTATACTTTCCAAAACATATGCCTTAGGACATAATTATAATTAAGTGATATAAATTAAAAGTAATCAATGTAGTAACTGCTCCTTAATCAATAATTAAAATTCCACTATCCCTAAATGCTATTTGACATTCTATCTTGACTATAACTTCCCTCATCTTTCACAATCACAAATAATCCTTCATTTTAAGCAATTTTTCAGAATAGAATTCTGACAGATTTCCAGAATTTGTGTCATGCAAACTACTATCTAACATCTCAAAACTACAGTTAGATTAATGACTTGCACCCCTCAACCCCAACATCAGCTACAGCATTGTTAAAAAATTATTCTTAATTTAAGTCTGAATCATTCTCTCCAAATAGTGAATTAAACATCCAAGAGCAAAGAATGTTGGTTAAAAAAATAACGTCTAAAACATTTTCTACTGAAGGCTTATGAGCTTGTGCCCAGCCTTATCTATCTTTCATGAAGGACACCGTCACTAAAAGATCAATGCTATCATGAACTCAAAGATAAAAAGTTAATCTTTAATCTTGACAGTAACAGCTTCAAACAGAAGAGTTAATTTTCAGTGCATGCTACCAAAGCATCAAAGACAACATAGAGATTAAAAAAAGAAACAAGTTTCTAAGATATGGAAGGTCAGATGTCATATTTTGAAGGTAAATTCTAAAATCAATGAAGCTGAAGTTTCACAATCAGGAACCAACTGACTACCTAGTTCTTGAGACAGCTTCCCAAGGAAGGGGGCTAGCACTGTGTCATTCCTCTTTGTATCTCCAAAATCTAACAGTAATAGCATGTGGTAAGCATTAGATTACAATATGTTTGAATAAGTAGGAATAAGTAAGATTCCATAATTAAGACCAGATTTGTATCAACAAATTATAATTTCTGAAAATAACTTAGGAGCCTCTTTTTTTGGTTTGTTTTAGAAAAATCATATCCTGGAATGTATTTTTAAATATAAATGATGTTCTATTTAGAAAGTATGGATCTCTAACTTTATGTGTGAGTATTTTTAACACATAAAACATAGAATATCCAAAAGGATATCATGTACAATCAACACTATAAAATCAAACTATATTTTTAAGCTAAAGTAAAATTTTCCTAGTACAAGCCATATATCCAAGGGTTGGAAAAAATCCACATCAAGAATCATATAAATAAAAATGTAAGAGAGGCACAGTGGCTCATGCCTGTAATGCCAGCACTTTGGGAAGCTGAGTCAGGAGGATTGCTTGAGGCCAGGAGTTCAAGATCAGCCTGGGCAACATAGCAAGACTCTATCTCTACAAACAATTTAAAAATTAGCCAGGCATGGTAGCGGGCACCTGTAGTCCTCGCTATGGGAGGCTGAGGCAGGAGAACCGCTTGAGCCCAGGAGTTCAAGGTTACAGTGAGCTATGATAATTCCACTGTACTCCAGCCTGGTTGACAGAGTAAGACCCTGTCTCTAAAAATAAAATTAAAAAATGAAGTATCATTCCACTACTGAGTTTCTTTTCCATTTCATTATTCTGGGCCTACAGGCTTTTGTTTTGCTTTAGGGTTTTTTGGTGAGTTGTTCTGAGACAGGGTCTTGTTCTGCTGCCTGGGCTAGAGTACAGTGGCATCATAGCTCACGGCAATTTCAAACTTTTGGGCTCAAATGATCTGCCTGCTTCAGCCTTCTGAGTATGTCATTGCTTTGTTTTTAATCAAATTCTAGTTGAGTCTTTGTACAAATAATCAATACTAAGAAATAAAACAATTAAGCCGTAAGAAATAGGTTACATTTCATTTAAAAACAAGATACATGCTTTCTCTCTCTTCTTTTTGTGGTTTCCTAATTCACTCCACTTAAACTTTTTACATACAAAAATTACTCAATGCTGCAATTTTCTGACCTTAAATGTAATATAATAAAATAAGCCCTCAACTTATTTATGTGCTTTCCTGGAACACACACACTCAGAATTTCAAGGACTTACTCCAACTTTACAGAAATGTTTTATCTATGCTACACAGAATGATCAAAGAAAAAGAAAAAAAGTTACTGATCTCCTAGAAATCTTTTAAAACTAACTCAACTATTCAGCTATGAATTAGGCTCATAAATTAGGTAACCTAATTCAGTCCACTATGGGTTAGATCAAATTGAACCCAATGAATTTAGCTCTCCTTTCTTCCATCTCTTAAAGACAACTGCATTTCAATATACACAAATTTGGGAAACACACAAAACCACCTACTTTGATCAAAATAAGAGAAAGTGTCAGGTGCAATAGCTTGTGCCTCTACTCTCAGCTACTTAGGAGGCTGAAGCAGGAGGATTGCTTGAGGCCAGCAGTACAAGACCAGCCTGGCAACACAGAAGACTCTGTCTCTAAAAATAAAAAAGATTAGCCAAACATGGTGGTGCATGCCTATTGTCCCAGCTCCTCAGGAGGCTGAGGTGGAAGGATCCGTTGAGCCCAGGAGTTCAAGGCTGCAGTAAGCTATAGTTGTACCACTGCACTCCAGCCTGGGTGACAGAGTGAGACCCCATCTCTAAAAATAAATAAATAAATAAAAAGAAAATGAGACTTATGTTTGCACATCATTTGTCAAGGACTGAACTCATTTACCCATAACTAGTTTTATAGGGAAAGGAGGTATACAGAGCCATGCATGTTGGGGGAAGGGAGAGGATTTATTTTGGATTAAAAACAAGCAATCTTTTTAATCCAAAATTTAAAACTTTAAACATTGTCATAAATCTCCCTTCTTCCATTTCAATAGAAAAAAATGAAATCCTAATCTTTATGTTCAAAAGTCTCATTTTGACCTTTCAAGAAGTACATCTTTCCTGAGACCTGCTATAATTTTTCCACTGAAGACTTTTTTTTTTTTTTTTGAGACAGAGTCTCACTTTGTTGTCCAGGCTAGAGTGAGTGCCGTGGCGTCAGCCTAGCTCACAGCAACCTCAAACTCCTGGGCTCAAGTGATCCTCCTGCCTCAGCCTCCCGAGTAGCTGGGACTACAGGCATGCGCCACCATGCCCGGCTAATTTTTTATATATATATCAGTTGGCCAATTAATTTCTTTCTATTTATAGTAGAGACGGGGTCTCGCTCTTGCTCAGGCTGGTTTTGAACTCCTGACCTTGAGCAATCCGCCCGCCTCGGCCTCCCAAGAGCTAGGATTACAGGCGTGAGCCACAGCGCCCGGCCTTCACTGAAGACTTTTTAGAGTCTTATTATGTTTAAACACAATACACATAAATGATGTCATCTCTTGCTATCAGTCCTAGGGATTCGCTGAAATTAATTTAAAGACTACTATATGCGGGCTGTATGTCAAAGGTACAACGTTCCTAATAATCTGTGTTAGCCTTTATTGAAGTTATTAAAAGTATGCCTATTATATAATTCCATGCCAATCATGTGAAGCATTTACCATAGACATAACCTCATACCATGGGAAATACACAAACTTAGATGTCATAGGCGATGACTATAATCTGTTTTAAGTTAAAAATAAAATTCTCTAATACTAGCTATAAAAAAAGATAACATATAAAATTATCAGCCAAGGGATCATACAAATATTTCACAGATTTGTTTTTTTAAAAAATTTCAGTGTTGTTGACAGAAAAAGTAGCAAATAAAGAGCTCTCTTGCCTTTATGATAACTAGTGCCCGATACGTTTTTTGCACATCAAAGGAGACTAGAGTACCTGGCTGAGCAATGTTATGAAGTTAAAAAGGAATGGAAATCACTTACAATGGACAAAAGCTCTACCAGACAGAGTTTCTTACATAACTTGAGCAAGGAGATACCATCCATATCCTAAATAGCCTTTGCTGAGTTTTTAGCAAATTATACTGTGATAGTATTAATGTTTCATGACCTTCCATAGCTTATAATCAGAGCTTTGAAAACAAAAAACTTTGTTTGACATATGGACAGAAACAGAGTGAGAAAGTGATACAGGGGGTGGGAAGGGGGGGTGTTACAGAATTCAATAGTAAAAACCAACATTCAGGTATTCATTTACCTTCTTATTTAGCCAGTGCCAGAGCTTGAGGACAGGGGGTAAGGTGAGAAAGAGAAGATAAGAACAGTGGAATATCATTAGAGAATGCAATAATAGTATGAAAAGAAAAGAAAGGAAAAGTCACTGAGAGCATGAGAAGGAAGTTGTTCCAGACAAAGGAAAAACTAGGGGGGAAAAACTGTAACACATCAACCAAGTTTAAAATCAAGAGAATGCAGTATTCCCTTAAGATATACATGATTGAAATGATAACCACAGCTTTGCGGGGAATCCAACAAATAAAAATACATAAAAGAACCTGAATGCTTGTAGGCTCAGTCTCTCTGCGCCTTTGCCTTGCTCCATCTACCTGCTCTTCTTGTCGTGTCTGCTTAATCAACTGCTCATGCTTCAAAATTTGCTCCTGCATTGTTTCCTCTGAAAAATCTTCTCCTTCCCACCACCATATCAACAGCCATTTCTTGCTCAGTACTATCATCATATCCTGTACACAACCTTTCCTACCCAAACTATAACAGCTAATACTTATTGTATACTGATTTAGGGATTTTACATTTATTAACTCATGTAGCCCTTATGACCATTGTATGAGGTAGGTGGTATTACACCCATTTTGTTGATAAAGAAACCAAGGCACAGAAAGGTTAAGAAACTTGTCCAAGGTCACGTGGCTAGTAAGTAGCAGAACTGAGAAACCGGAGTATAGAGTCAGAAGCCATGCTCTTTAACTGCTAAGCTTCTGAATCTAACCACCACTTCAGAATTTTTATGAATTGTTGTCAGCTTCTATCTGATTTTCCATGATTCATCTGATTTTCCCAGCAGTCCCTGACACATGGAAGTTACTCCAAAAATATTCAGTGAACTGAGCCACTACTTCATTATATAATTTTAGGCAAGTCACTTAACCGCTCTGTATTTCAATTCGGTCCTAATAAAATAAGGGAGTTGAACTAGGTGTTCCATAAGATCCTTTTCTCCCATTTTTAAGAGGAAATAAACATCTACACAATATTCTTATGTAAACTATAAATTCTAAACTTCAGAATTTTATGATAGAATTAGATATTAAATGTGTTATCAACAGTTACAATACAAAACACCAAACCATGAAACACATAAACTCCATTAAGTCAGCCCAAGCTTTTAAAATACAATACCTTGCTATCAACTTTCAACAAGAATTTTCCAAGCCCCACGATTGGCCAAGGTGCGAGAGCACCCTGCCGCTCCTTCAGGAAGCTCTCCATAACCCCCCACCACACATGGTAGCGTTTTTCCAGGAAGTCCACAACTCCAAAGTGAATGACGAGCTTTTTGAGTATCCAGACTATAAAGAAGATTAAAAATACATATATAAACAAAAGAGAGATTAGAAAGTCATAACATGAAAAGGTTCCTTAATTTCACATGACCTTTCTAAAACATCAAAGCCAGTATTAAAACAAAGATCAATGCTTTAAAAAGGGGGGAGAGGGAGCCCCAAGTATGCCAAACAGATGGAACTGGGCCAAATAACTTTTTACACAATCCCCACCCATCCATATATTATCTTCTTGAGAAGTCTGAATCCCTAAAGGAGTCAGGGATTATTTTACAGCCCATATAAACATAAGATACTCTTATCATAAAGATTTCAGTGACTATAATCTTGGCCCCTCACACCTTACCCCCTCCTAAGTAAAGGATATGAACCCCTGACATTTCCTATTCCCCATGGCTTTTATAGCTGCTCTTGCCAAATTTTGTTATTTTCCTCGGATATTTGTTATTTAATGACTAGAAAAGTATAAAGTATTCCACACACATTGCGATTTTATGCCACTGCAGGGTAACGTTTTCACTTGTGTTCCTGTTTCCCCATTTGATGCTGCTCTGAACAGATGTCAGGGTTCAGTAGAGAAGCAAGCTGAATACAACTAAAGCCTCTACAAATGGCCCAGGACTGTGCCCTGCACAATTTCAGTGGGACCATTCACAGACCATAAAAGAAACGTCTCCCTTGGAGTTGAGCAGTGTGGTGGCCTTTCAAGCATAGAATATGATTACAACAAACAGAAAGCCCAAATAAGCAAGAAAGTATAAAAAAATGCTTCTACAGTGCACCTGAATCAGAAATAACTCTTCCTTACTCTTTCCAATCTTAGAAGACAGCTTTAGAGAGAATCAAAACAACAGAGTTGGGCCTTAAATTACCACGGTACCAAGGTACAAAGACCTGATTTCGTGATTTATGGAAAACTATATGACCCATTTTGACATAATACATATAATACATATACATGTAATTAAGGTTTTCTGCCCAAAGAAAACCCAAGATTTTACATACATTTATTTCTCAAAAACTACACTTCCTTTGAATTGAAAAGGCAATGTAAAATGTGCTTCTCTAAGAGCAACTCTCAAAATTCAATCATAAGCCCCAAAACCCAGAAGGTTGTTAACACACTCCTCCACAGAATTATGGATGACTGAACCGTCAAATCTCTATGTGGAGCTATAAATCTCAAATACCACATGAAATCATAAGAGGCTAAATACATTTTCAAGCTTAGAAGTAAAATACTGGCAGGGCACAGTGGCTCACGCCTATAATCCTAGCACTCTGGGAGGCTGAGGCAGGGGGGGTGCTTGAGCTCCAGAGTTCAAGACCAGGCTGAGCAAGAGCAAGACCCCATCTCTACGAAAAACATTAAAAATTAGCCAGGTGTGGTGGCATCTACTCAAGGAGGCTGAGGCAGGAGGATTGCATGGAACCCAGGAGTTTGAGGCTGCAGTGAGCTATGATGACCCCACTGCACTTTAGCCAGGGCAACAATCAAGACTCTCTCTCTCAAAAAAGTAAAATATTAAAGAAGTATTAAAGTAATAAATTCCCAAAATTATGTTTGTTCATTATTTAAATGCAAATAAAAGATTGCTCTATTTATAAATATAGAAATATTACCTCAAATTTTAAAATATGACAGCAAATTGAGAAAAAAAGTCTTCAAAGATGAGACAAGATCATAATTAACCAGATAATAACCTGCAACAGGCACTGGCAGCAACTGCACAATCCACAGGTTCAACCAGATCTGGACAATGATGATGGCCCAAACAAGAGACACAAAGTAGATATCACTAGTTTTCTTCTTTCTAAGAAACGTTCCGATTTCAGGCCTTTGTCTGCCCAGAGTGGGTGAAGGGGAGGACAGTGAAGAAGAGGAGGACAATGTTGGAGGGGGTTCTCCTCTGTCCGTGGTTTCTGAAAAGGGAAAGGAAAAAACCACACAGTATATTAATCCACATGAGGAAACAGTAATACAGAGCAATTTGTGAGACTACTCTACTTTAAGGCTTCAAAATGTACTCTAATAGCATGTATGATATGACTATATCAGGTTAAAAAGGACAAAAGGATTTGTATATGTGTTTGCATATGCACTGAAAACCATGTGGAGAATTACAATGCTGAGGGTGCTTGAATCTAGAGAGATAGTCTGTTGGGGAATAGGGTTGGGAGACAACTATTTGCTTTTTTTTTTTTTTTAACTGTTTGCTTTTTATATTTTACAGTGTACAAGATTTTTATGACTAGTATATACATATCATTAAAACAAAATACATGACAAAGTAGCTGAGAATAATTATCCCATAAAAATATTCAAATCATATAAAGCAACAAACACTAACATATACTAGAATTTCTATATTTAAAAATTCTACCTTTTTTAGTATAACTTTAGAATTTATATGTATTTCTGACACAATAAGGCTCTTCAGTGTCATTTCACCTAAAATGGAATCATCTGCTCTTATAAGAATCCAGGGCTTTCAAAGATATCTCTGTCTCTGAATGCGATATAAAACAAACAATGACAGACTGCTGGGGTGAGGAATTTTCAAATCAAAGAAACCATATTGGATTATTTCACATAAGGCACTGTTTTCTAACAATGAAACTACTATGTTACATTTTAAAACAGGAATCTATTATTTCTAATTATTTTAATAAGACATAGCATATATATCAGAACCCATAAAACTCTTGAAGTAATATTACTCTACATGCACGCACCATAATGATAGAAGATCCTAAAACTTGCATTTTGACTTCCATTAAAAAATAAACTACATCTTATTTCATAATGTTGAGAAAAAAGAGAAGACACAAGAATACCCAGGATCCCAATCTCCTCTTTGCCTCACAGTTTTAATACATAGTTTTATCATGTCCTACTTACCCTTTCCTGTTTTCTACTTACCCTTTATCATGTTCTACTTACCCTTTCTCATTTTCTCCCTTCAGCTGAATGTCAACTCCACAGGAGCTAAGACCTTGCCTGTCTCCAATGAACTGCTAGCACATAAAATAGTATCTCACATATACTAGTTGCTCACTAAATATCTGAATGACTGACTTCCCTGTTATAATTTTCATAAGCAACCACATAGTAGCCCACTGAGTTACCATAACTTCCTTAGTGTTTTTAATCTTAAATGCTCAGCTGTAAGTGAATTTTACTACTGAGATTACCATGGTAAGTCAGCTTACCTCACTAGAACTAATATTCTACCCTGAAGTTTAAGACTAAAGCCCAAGCTAATCATATTATGCTTTCGTTTGACTTTGCTCTCTCACTTTCTAATTTGGAAACTTCATGTTGGTGGGTGTGGCAGATATTTGGAAGGATAATAACAACCAAAACATCTTCTCTCCACTTTGGAAACATGATTCAATATGCAAGAAAAGTGTTCCTACTACTCCAAATGCCTTTCCCTTAGCTGATCCTTTCCTTCTAGACATTTCTAAAGTCAGTTCTTCAAAGAGAACTCACTATAAATATTCCCCAACTCCAAATACCTCTGGTCCTAACAGGCCTCTCAGCACAGACCAAAACAGCTTTTTACATTCCTGAACCCTGTGAGAGTGCAGCACAACTCTAACACTGGTATAAATCTACCCAGGAAATAGGCCACATAGAACGATGAATCCAAAACCACCAGAGGGGTCAATATATTAACAGTCAATATATTAACAAGCATGAGGCATGCAAATCAAACTTTTAGAGAAAGAATGCCAGAGAAAGGGATGACAGGAAGATGGAAAATAAAAGCCCCCCCACGCCTCCAAAAAAAGAGTTGGACAAAGAGAACAAAAGAAAAAGCAACATGAAGAGATAGAGCATAATAAAACAACAGAGGAGAACTGACAGCTGTGGAAGAAAGAAATGGAAAACATGAAACTAAGATAAGGAAAGCGTAAAGTGGGGGAGATGTGAGAAAGGTAAAGGGGGACTGAGAAAAGGAAAATAACAGGAAAGTGAGAAAGAACAACAAAAGAAAATAAGATGAGCATTAAAAGAAAAAGAATGAAGAACTAAGATAAGAAACTTAAGGAGGTAAATAATTAAATATAAAAAAGTGATATCTGAGAACAAAGATGAGAGAGAAAAAGGTGTAAAAATAGGAATCAGAGAGAAAAATGAAAGATAAGAGCAAGTAGCATTCTGTGATGCTAGTGGCCTTCTCAATTCTATAATCTATTTACATTCATTTTCCAGAATAACCTTGAATGTCACTGTTAACATTAGTCACCTGCAGGCTGAGTCGAGGACTGGTCTTCACTGCTTGATTCATACCCTGTGATAGAGATGGCCAAGTTTGCTAGAGTAGAGGCTGCCATGGAAATAACTTGCCCTGGTAACTCTGCCCCTGTAAAATAAGTGTGCATTTTTAAAAACTTTTTAAAGCAAATGAACAAAGCAGGAAGTAACTCTTAGAAATTTAAACATAGTCCAAAATTTTCAACAGTGATAATATAAACTGGTTATTACTGACCGACTGGACTCAGTGGTGCTTTGCCAAGGAAGAATGCTTAAAAGTCAACGGGAAAGTCTGCTTAAAATGCAGCCTCATTTGGGAACTTCATGTTCTTCAGGTATTGCATACAGAAATCTTGGGTGTACATTTATATTTTTTAACTTTACAAGATGGTTTTAAGGCACACTTCCATTGAAAAACACTGCCACACCAAGTCTGTAAGCTCCCTGATCACAGGGAGGCTACTTTGTAATACTAGGTCTCAGCACAGCATAGGAAAGCCCACACTTGGTGCTCTCAAAAATAATATTTCACAAATGAACATGTAAACATATGCTTGAACATGCAAATGTATGGGTATTATGCAAAGCCAGAGAAATCTATAAAGTACACAATTCAGCAAAGGCAAAATCTACCACTTGAAAATCTAAAGGAACATCATGACTATCATGTTATATGTTCCCACGTTAAGTTCTTAATATGTAGTACCAAGCTTGATCCTTTGCCCTAGATTCAAATAAAACATTTATTGGCAAACGAGTTTTGTCTGGAAAGATCAGCCTTTAACCTGCTATGGCACACAAGGCAGACTAGCTCATACAACACCAAGTTCTGGCACACTTTCTTGCACACTAGAACAATAGCTAATGACTGTATTTCTTAGACTCCCCTGCAGCTAACCACATGGGATGCAGTTTCTACTAAGCAAGTATTATAGAAAGACTATGCAAGACTTTAAAGTCAAACGTAATACACTGTAATTTGGAAGGCACACAGCTCTCATGTCAAACACAGTCACAGAGGCATATGGTTTTTCTGCAGCAACTCCAGAGGTTCTGCTGTCTGATTCTAATTTCAAGGTAGGTGGCAGCAGCCATGACCTTCTGCCTAAACCGTCCTCTGGTGTCACTGAGCATTTCTCCTGGTGCATTGCTTCTGCCCGTATCAGATCCAAGCTTAGTTGCCTGGCCTACGCAAAAATGCTAAATGCTAACCGATACCACTTAATATTTAAACCAGCCAGAGTGGATTCGCTTGTCTACAACTAGGAACACCAGCCATTCCAAATCATACATCCACATTCAAAAGTTGGAACCTGACTTTTGGTAGGCCAATACTCAGTGTGACAACACAGAATTCTGGAAAGCCAATGAAAAGAGCCATGACACTTCAGAAAGCCAATGAAATTCTACTCCAAATTAACTCCACATACCCAAAAAATGCAAGGCTGGCCATCTCCCAGAAAGAAGCAAGCCAGAGCCTGAAGTGGCTCTTTGGTAAATTCAGCCATCAGTATCAACAGCACTCGCCTTGCTCAATCATACCCTATCCCTCCTCTAACAATGCCCCTATGACCTGAAAGAAGTTTATCTTTAGATATATCATCATCATATCTCTCAATATGAAAGAAATTCAAACTCATGGTCTGGGAAGAAAGCCTAAGTTAGCTACCTGGGTCAGGACCTTATTCTCCTGGCCTATGTATCTAAGGTGCTTGTGAGACGCCAGTAAGACAGCAAGGGCTGAGAAAGACAGTGTCTTGCATGTATACTCACTACTCACTGCACTGTGCACTGGGGACAACGATACTGCCCCTGCCCCTCGGAGTCTAATGGAAGAGACAGATATGAATTAAAGAACTACATAAATAAATGTACATGTACAAATTATGACAGCTATAAAGGAAAACTCCTGGGTATTTTGTGAGCTACTAACAGAAGAAATCTAACTTACTCTAAAGAATCAGGAAAGGCTTCTCCTAAGAAATGAAAATGGAGTTGATATATCAAGAATGACAAGGAATTAACCAAAGAAATGTAAAAAATAACACGCTGGGCAGAAGGAAGCAAGAAGGCAGGCTGTGTGAAGAACTCAGCATGTTAAAAGGTAGTGAAAGAAGGTCAGTGTGTCTGGAACACAGACAGCTAGTAAGAAACTGGCATCAAATAAATAAGGCTAGAAAGGCAAGCCACACAATACAGGTCACAAAAGACCATATTAAGGATGTCAGTCTTTATACTAAGAGGAATAGAAAAGCACTGAAGAGTTTTAAATAGTATAGTAATCTTTTTTTTAACTGAAACTTTATTAAGATAAATGTAGATTCACATACAGTTGTAAGAAATAATCTCGTGTACCCTTTACTCAGTTTCCTCCAATGGTAACATTTGCAAAACTGTAGTACAGTATCAGGAGATGGGCACAGATACAAGACACAGAACAGTTTCATCACTGCAAGGATCCCTCATTGTAGACCTTTTAAAACCACGTACACCTGCCTCTCACCCCTCCCTGCTGTGTAAATAAATGATCAGTTTTGAGATATGAAAAGATCACTCTTGCTTGTCTGGAGATCAGAATAAAGGGGACCAAGAGTGAGTGCAGGGAAATAAGTTACTGTAGTACTACAGGCAAGACATGACAGCATGGTCTACTGCAGTAACAGGGGAGATGGGGAAAAGTGGCTGGATTTAAGAGACTCAGAGGAGTTACACTGGACCACACTTGGGGATGTACTGATAAAGGGAAACAAAGAGATGAAGGCAGCCAAGTTTCCAGATTATGAATAGATAGATAACATGCAGGGGAACAGCATAAAGATCCTAGACATTTTTTTTTTTTTTTTCCAGAAACAGGATAGCACTTAGCTTCACATAAGTATATCCAGGAAAGAACTCTTAGGCCCCACTCAAAAGCAGTTTGAGTACACCTAATAGCCTGGCACAGCAGAAAAGGGGGGAAAAAAACCTTCAAGTCAAAGCAGTCAACACTAGGATGTCACAAATAAATAAATATTCTCTCTTACATAAGATTAAAAACTAAGCAGGGGGTCCTGAATTACTAAACTGACCTCTTCACAATTTAACTAAGTGGTGACTCACCTTTGAGAAACTGTGAAGTTAAGACCCTTGAGAGTTTTTAAATAACTCCAAAATAACAAGACCATTGCACAGCTCCTCAAATATGGACTTTCAGTTTAGCTGCATTTTAACTTATATTTCTAAATGCCTACTAAGCATTTGTTTGCCAAATAGGTGACTACGCTATACGCTGAAACAAGAGACCAAGACCCTGTCCTTAAGTTCTAATACTTAACCAGCTATAATTCAGTATGTTAAGAGCTAATGTAAAGTAAGCATAGAATGTTTGGGGAGCACAGAGGATAGACACCAAATCCATGCTGAGAAGTCTGGGAAGGGTTTCCCAGGGAGCTATCTAACAAAAATGTTAAAAGATGCCATCCTTTAAATCCATTTAAAAAGTTAGCCAGATAAAGATGACAAAAGTCTATCCTGGGGAGAAACTTCCAAAGGCACTGGTTTCTTAGAACTCAGGGGTAGCAATGTGTTCCAGGAGGACAAAAAAAAAGCAGATGTAAAGACACAAAGGCAAGAAATGCAGAGTATCTTCTTCAAAGAACTCTAAGTTCAATAAGGCCAAAACATAGGGTACAATGAGAAGAGTGGAGAAGAACAAGTATGCAGACAGAGATGGACCAGAGAATGGAAGGTCTCATGTTTACTAGGCACAATTCATGACTGGAAGCACAAATGAAGAAAGAAGACTGCCCAGGTCCAAATCCCAGGTCCATTCCTTATTTCTTGGATGACCATGGGCAAGTTACTTAACATCTAAGATGCCTCAGTCTCCTCATGTTTAAAATGAATCTTATATAAATTCTATCTCATGTGAGAATAAAGTGAAACAATACATATAAAAAATGTTTAGGTATGTAGGAAGCACTTAAATGTTAGCTACATCAATTCTCTATATCAATCTATGGGCTTTGATAGTATAAACTATAAGCATAAGCCACTAACACTGCTATAGTATTTCTCTGTACCTCTCATGCCCTTTGTGTTACAATCATTTCCCTAAATCATATCCCCCTTAGTAGACATTTATAGACCTCGCCACAGAGCTAAGTAAAATGTCTTGCACAGAGAGCAGGCACTGAAAGACTTGAGAAAAAGCTAAAACCAATAAATTAAATCTTCAAAATTGTGGTGTAAAGACTAACTCTCCAACTTGCTGATGTTGCTAAAATCTTAGCTGCATCAATAAATCTTAGCTGCATCAACAAAAACTATGCAGCATCATTCTAGTTAATACACAAATGATTCAGCAAATTTTCAGAGTGCCTTAAACTTCAGAAAAGTATGAAACGAACAGCACACACAGAAACTCAACAAAGAGTATTTGAAAACTATAGATACAAGATTTGGCAACTGCTCTTATCAAACAGATATGCCTTTTAATGACTTCTGTCTTTAGGATATACTTCAGCACTTCAAAAACCTCAAGGGTCCAGGCAGGGAAATGACAAACTTAACAAAAGAATGCCAGGACTGGGAATCCTGGCAAAGTCCTGTTATTAGATAAAAAGCCACAGCTAAAAATAGGCATATAAGTAAGGGAACATAATCTTGGGACTCAAGTACTAAAAAAGAAAAGAAAGACCATCCAAGGTTTCAAGTATCAAGATACCTAGGACCAGGGCCAGTATTAGGTGAAGGCCCAAATAACGAGGGATCTACATAAGTCCACACAAGCAGGTCACTGACATTAGCAGCCTAGCACCAGGGGACAGAAACTCAGAGTCTGGCACATAAGAAACAGATTACAAGGTCAGATAACATCTGTTCATACCAACAACTCAACTATGGGGTGACTAACTTTTTTAATAATCATAGGTAAATATATTTTGAAACCAGTCTAAATAAGGAGATGCTTTTTAATCTACTTCATTCTTTTACACAGGGACAGCGGCCGTTGCCAGAAATACAACCAAAGATTCTTATTGGAAGGAGACACTGCATACCAAATAAAACCTCCCCAGCTTGCAAAGCTCCCTTTGAAGAAGGCTTCTGTTTCCATTACTAATGTGGAAA